GTTGAAAAAAAAAATCCCAAATTTATTTTCTTTTTTTTTTCATTTTCAAATTACGTCCAAATTCGGCCATACAGGCAAACGGCCAAAAGCGACGTTCTTTTTAAGAGGACAGGTTGAATAAATGCCATGTTATGGAATGTGGAATAGGAGATCATAGACCCCACACAACCTATAAATTATGTGAGAAATCTTTAAAAAGTTATGATAAAGAAAGAGATCTAGGGGTGGTTCTAGATAGAAAACTATCACCTGAGGACCACATAAAGAATGTTGTGTGAGGAGCCTATGCTACGCTTTCTAACTTCAGAATGGCTTTTAAATACATGGATGGTGAAATACTAAAGAAATTGTTCACGACTTTTGTTAGGCCAAAGCTAGAATATGCAACGGTTGTGTGGTGCCCATATCTTAAGAAGCACATCAACAAACTGGAAAAGGTGCAAAGATATGCTACAGTACTAAGTGGCTCCCAGAACTGACGGACAAGAGCTACGAGGAGAGGTTATAGGCATTAAATATGCAAAAACTAGAAGATAGAGGAAAAAGATGCGATATGATTACTACTTACAAAATAGTAACAGGAATCGATAAAATTGATAGGGAAGAATTCCTGAGACCTGGAACTTCAAGAACAAGAGGTCATAAATTTAAACTCATGAAACAAAGCTGCCGGAGAAATATATGAAAATTCACTTTTGTAAACTGTCGCAGACGGTTGGAACAAGTTAGGTGAGGTGGTGGTGGAGGCTAAAACTGTCAGTAATTTCAAAGTGTTATATGGCAGAGTGCTGGGGAGACGGGACACCACGAGCATAGCTCTCATCCTGTAACTACACTTAAGTAATTACACACATGACACTTTCCAGTGTTAGGGACTGGAAAGCCAGTGAAATGGTACATAAAAACAAAGCAACACAATCATTAGAGGAAGGGGGAGTAAAGAACAAAGTGGAAAGGAATATGTGCCTAAAAATTGTATATACCAACATAGATGGAGTGAGATAAAAAAAATACTGGAGCTAAGAAAGATAAATTCAGCTTAACACTTTCGCCTGGGCATGACGCAGCATTGCGTCATCCGTTTACTGTCGGTAATACTGGGGATGACGCAGCATTGCGTCATCCACTTTAAATAATCGCCAAAAATCAGGTTTTTATCCAATTTTTTTGGGACTGGTTTTAAAATGCGCACCGATGTCTTCCCATTTTCTTTGTTGAGCCTCGTGGCCCTCAGGTGGCTTGGCACACACCGTGGGCCCATTGTTTTCGCTCCACTGTTGTAACCAATGTTGCCTCCCCTTGCATCTCAAACGTGTGTACATTTCGGCTATTTTCCGTGGCTATATTTCTTACTGCGGCTTTAGAAACTATCTACGCTTACTCCACGATGGATAGTGATCATGAACAAGGTCCTTCCAGGAAGAAAATTGCAAAAGAATGGCTTGAAAAGGGCGGGAATTGGGAGTGTAGCTGGAAGGCGTCTGAGCGCTCACTTGCGGCTAATGCGTGGCCTGTCTTCAACTCGTCGGCGGTTGGAGCGTGACCAGGTTTTTTATTTTATATGCTAATGTTCCTCTGGAGAATTCAATTGCGAACCCATTGAGACCAAAATGAAAGACCTAGGACGAAAATTGAGGTGACCAGAGTGAAAATAGTGAAAACATTTTATCGTGTTTGCGCGCTCCTGGGTAACTCGTTCGCACTTTCTCTGTTTGCTGCGGGTAATTAGCTGGGCTTTTGGAGTTTATATGCATTTAGTGCTGTAGAGAATTCTATTGCGAACACAATGATACAAAATTTAATCTCGTAGGGCGAGAATTAAGGTGACAAAGTTGAAGAGAGTATACACTTTTCAGAATTTACGCGCGCTCCCGTGACACCCTGGGTCCCATATCGCACAGTTGAGGGGTGGCACGCGGGGTACGCCAAAGTGTTAAGGTCCCATATATTGTCTCCCTAGCCGATTGGCCGAGCAGACAGCACGCTGGACTTGTGATCCTGTGGTCCTGGGTTCGATCCCAGGCGCCGGCGAGAAACAATGGGCAGAGTTTCTTTCACCCTATGCCCCTGTTACCTAGCAGGTAAATAGGTACCTGGGTGTTAGTCAGCTGTCACAGGCTGCTTCCTGGGGGTGGAGGCCTGGTCGAGGACCAGGCCGCGGGGACACTAAAAAAGCCCTGAAATCATCTCAAGATAACCTCAAGATAACCCTAATAGAGACTAACTATTTTAAATGAGGTTAACTATTTTAAATGAGGTTAACTATTTTAAATGAGGTTGTATTCTCAAGGGGATACTCAGTTTGAAGTTTTGACAGGAAAACTAGGAAGGGTGGGAGGAGTCGTTGTGCTGGTAAAAGAACACCTGAAGGTAAGAGAGAGTTAATAACTGAAAACCCTCGAGAAGTTGACATAATGGCATTTCAGGTTTGGAATCAGGATGATAAACTGATAATCGTAAATGCCTACAGCCCACCAGCAAGCAACTCATGGACAAAGGAGGAACTGGATGACAAATGAGAGGGCCTCATAATGCTCATGAGAGAGACTGTAGTAAAACCAAATACAGAACACACAGTAATCACAATAGCGTGATGTATCAAATGAACAAATCCACAAGAGCCATGACAAGGATTCGAACCTATGTCTGAGAGCATCCCAGACGCTGCCTTAATTCGACTGAGCTACGACATTGTAAATTCTTTTGAACATGTCATAGCTCAGCCGATTAAGGCAGAGTCTGGGATGCTCTCGGACATAGGTTATAATCCCCGTCACGGCCCTTGTGGATTTGTTCACCAAATACAGTAACGATAAATCACGATTGTTGGTACTGAAGGACTTCAACTTGAAAGCAATAGACTGGGGGAGGCCTACGAAGCAAGAATGGAAGACATTTAGACAGGCAGATTTGTAAACTTGATATTGGAGACATTCATGTATGTACACGTCAAGCAGGCCACAAAAATGAGGAAAGGGGATGTTCCGTCAACACTGGATCTAATATTCACCAAGAATGAAGAAGAGATATTTGACATCCAGTATCTTCCTACCTTGGGAAAGAGTGATCATGTCCTGTTGGAAATTAAATATGCTATGAAGGGCATATTTCTTGAATATTAATATAATCTAGAAGAGCACGGGGGACATTGAAACAGTTGATGCACTAGACATCAAGAAAGGACACTATGGGGAACTTAGAAAATTCTTTAATGAGTTTAATTGGACATACTTGTTGCTTTTCAAGGAAGTAAATGAGATGTATGCCAAATTTTGCAAAATATACGATGAAGGCACACAAACATTCATACCAAAACGGAGATGCAGGACCAGAAAACAAGATTGGTTCAACAAATTGTGAGCGGGGAAGAGAGGAAAAGTCAAGAAAATTGGTTCAATATAGGAAGAGGCCTAACCCACAAACATACCAGCACTACAAGCAAGCAAGAAACAATTACACAACAGTAAGGAGAGAGGCAGAAAGGAACTTTGGAAATGGTATAACGGACAAATGTAAAATAGATCGAGGCCTTTTCTGTAAATTCATTAAAAGCAAGCTGCATGTAAAGGATAAACACATTGTGTTTATGCTTCGCTTTCCAACTTCAGAGTTGCTTTTATTCATATGGATGGTGAAATACTAAAGAAACTGTTCATGACATTTGTGAGACCAAAATTGGAGTATGCAGCAGGTGCTCAAATATCAAGAAGCGCACAAGGAAACTGGAAAAGCTGCAATGGCATGCTACAAAATGGCTTCCAGAATTTGAGAAACATGAATTACGAGGAAAACCTAAAGGCAGTAAACATGCCAAAACTAGAAGATAGAAGAAAATGAGGTGATATGATTACCACTTACAAAATACTAACAGGAATTGACCAAATTGACAAAAAGGAATTCCTGAAACCAGCAACTTCATGAACAAGAGGACATAGATTCAAGCTAAGGAAACAAAGGTGCCAAAAAAATATTAGAAAGTTTTCCTTTACAAACAGTGATAGACGGTTGGAACTGGTTAAGCGAGAAGGTGGAGGCCAAAATCGTCGGTAGTTTCAAGGCGTTATATGACAGAGTACTGGAAAGACATAACACCATGAGCATAGCTCTCATCCTGTAACTACACTTAGGTAATTACTCCCACTCATCAACTTCCACTCACAAACACTCATTCTAAATGGATGAAGTATTGAATTAAGGAATGGCCAGGTGGAAAACACCAGCTGTCACAGATCAGAGCAGACTAAATCTTGTGATGATAGTCAGATAAGGACAATATCAGTGGGCACAGAATGAACCAAATTAACATGGGGCAAGTTGTGGGAGTGGATGCATGTAAACCAAACATTGAGGCATGTGTGCCGCAGCTTAATAATGGCACTGTGTAATGTCAAATTGTAATAACTAGATAATTTTAAAGTGTACGTTAAAACAAATATATGTTGGTAGTGAAGTGTCAGACCACGAAGGAAGAATTGAAACAGGAATTTCCTTAAGTACTTTCGTATTTAATAATGCATCTTTAATAATACATATGAAGTTGTATTATTAAATACGAAAGTACCTAAGGAAATTCCTGCTTCAATTCTTCCTTCATGATCTGACACTGTCACATTTTTCATCACGTGTTAATTTTTGTGATTTACACACATATTGGTAGTGGTGTAATATTTTGTTAAGCGAGGTTCACCTGTATCCCAAACCTGGGATATCTAACCTGGGATCCCAGTTGGAGATCCTAGGTTTATTTCCATGGCAGGATAGAAACGGTTGGGCCTGTTTCCTTTCATCTCGTGTCTCTGTTCACCCGTAAGTAAATAGGTACCCGATAGTTAGGCATCTGTTATGGGAAGTTGCATCCTAGAAAAGACCAGTAGTTTAACCTTGAGGGAACCCTCAATACAAGCTTAAATTATACTAGTATATAAACACAGGCTTCCTGTCCCCCTGATAAAATAAATTATTATTAAATTATTATTATTTTAAAATCTTAACTATTTAAGGATGGAGGCGAGAAATTGTTTACCGTGCAACTGTTGATCCAAACAAGGGCGGAGCTAAAGCCGACATCTATTATTATGCTCCTAATGGCAAGAAACTCCGATCAAAAGTGGAGATAGAAGACTTCCGTAAGTATAGTTACCATCTGTAGAAACACTGAAAGTAACAGTAGGTAATAGTTGGTAAAATGTGTACAGTATAATGAGTTAGAGATGTTTTTGTATTGTGTGAAAGTGCTTAGTGTTCCAGGTGTAAATGATAATGTTCATAAAAGTGTATGGGGTTCCAGGTATAAATGATAGTGTACATAAAAGTGCTTTGTACCAGTTTTGAGTGTGGCAGTTCTGTTTCTTGTCTAAATATATTCACCTTTATGCTTAGATACTAAGCTTTTTATTGCAATTTAATTTTTTGTGGGGAGCCCTGTTGGCTACCTGGAGCTATTGGACTGTTATTAGCTAATATTAGTACGGGGCTTCAGTCATGTGGAGTTGTCATGCCTTCCAGGGACCACTAGCAAGGACATGGTCCCCTCAGAGAGGCAAAGGGAGCAATGGCCTATGAAGTATATACTCACATGTATGAAAGTATTCATGTCTGCCATCGACTAAAGTTGAGCACCCAGAAAGGTAGGCGGTTCAAAGCAGACCCCTCCTGTTAGAAATATTGCAACCTGAGCAATAGAAACTCCATAAAGTAAACAAGCAAACGAGCATTACATCATCACACTGCGCTCCACTTGTATGCACCACCACCTCTCCCCCCCCCCCCCACCCTTTCTCAGGAGGGGAAGAGGGTGCCCTAGCTCACCGAGCCGGCAGCTGGACCATCAATTTGTCGGCTGAAGCTAAACAGGGGTAGACATCTGCTCTATTCTCGGTTGCCTGATTGGCTTCATTCTGCTGGTGTTCCTGCTGTGCGTTGGCGGTAGCCAGGAGTTCGTACCAATGGATACATGTGCTTAGGACACCCCTAAGCGCCTTGTGAGTACACCCCTTGGGGTTCAGAGCCATCTTCTCTGGGTCCTTCAGGGGCCCCATTCCCATAGGGGTAGTGGCTGCTTGGCCTTCTGCCTTGCCCTTCGAGTCAGCTTAGATCCTTGTTCTTTTGTTTGGCCCTGGGTAGGGAGTGTTTTGTTGCTGGTTGGGGCCCACGGTACTGCCCAGCTTGCATTATCACTCTTTCTGGTCCTCTTTCTGGGACCTCTTTCTGGTCCCCTGGGTTGTGGTGCTTTATCAGGGTTCTCTTTCCCACTTTGTTTGCTTTGTCCATTGGGAGGCTGCCATGGTCCTTATTGGGTGATACCTAAATGCAGTACCTCTGGGCCTCCGAGATGGCTCACTTCACAGGGGGGCCAGTTTGTCCGGATACATATTGGGTTACAACCGGCTTTGGCGGCACCAGTGCCTGGGCTTCCCATAGGGTTACTACCCCCTTCGGGCCCTGGAAAACCCTGACGGGGCTTAGTTGACCGATGGACGTGTCCTCTGAGTCCCTTCTCGTCTTGTCCAAGTTTGAGGGCTGTTCGTTGCCATTGTCTCAGAGTGACGATCACCTGTTTTGCCTTCGTTATGCCGCTTGTTGTGGCAACGACACCTTTGACCCAGAATCTTACAAGACTTTTCCTCTGCTTGTGCTCCAATTTACCTATTCTGCCATGGCTGAGGTTAGGGGCAAGCAGCTCGTGCATTGCATACTAGGTTTAGGTTGCTGCAGCGTGTTAGGTTGGTTGCCCGCTCAAGTGCCCCAGGGCTGCCCCGTTTTGGTTTTAGGGACCCGGACTTAGGGAGTTGATTGGTTCGACCTTGGTTCAATCCGCTCCCCTTCGTCCTTCCCTTGTTGCTGTGGGTCACCATTCTCTTCCACTCCTGCTTCTGGCTCCCAAATGTCTGAGGGGTTTCGGGGTCAGGGCGAAGTTTAGCTGGGGTTGAGACTCGGGCGGCTCCGGGGGTTGCTCCTTCCGAGGCGGGGATGGAGGCATTTGAGCTGGTTCCTCCCACCTAGGCTTCTGGGTCCTTCCAGCAGGTCCCTTTCTTGGATACCTCTTCCTTGGACTCTGCCTTTTCTTCAAGGGTGGAGGGCATTGAATACAGCTCTGCCCCAGATCCTGGTTTGAAGATTTCCGGGGCTGGGGGGGGGGGGGAGGCGGCCTGGGGGCGCTTGGGCCCCCTTTCGATCCTGCCTGGGTTTTGGGGCCTTTGGGGCGGGGTCTGCTTTTGTAAAGTTCGGAGTTTTCGTGCCCCTCCTTCCTTGTACAAATTTGATGTGGGTCGGCTTCCCCCTGGGTTGCAATTTTCTTACCATTACGGGTCTGTTTTGTTATGCCTACCTTTCTTTGTGCCAACCCCGGTCGATAGCAGATATGAAATGCTCCCAAATACATGGGGGTTTCCATAGGCCATTGCTCCTCGTGCCTCTCTGAGGGGGCCAGGTTCTGTCTCGTGGTCCCCAGTAGGCTGAACTCCAATTGACTGATGCCCCAGACTAATATAACATATATATCAACCTGATAGCTCCAGGGAGCCTGAGGGCTCACCCAGAAAATGGACTTTCATTACATTCAATGCTGGGTTTTTGTACTTGCTTGTTTTGTATTGTATTGATTATTATTTCACTTTTCTGTGGGGAGCCCCTACGGTTCCCTGGAGCTTACCGGGCTAATGTATGTTATATTAGACCGGGACATTAGCTAAGGAGTTCAGACCTACCAGGGATCAGCGCCAGAACCTGGCCCCTTCAGAGAGGTTTCAGGGAGCAATGGCCCTGGAAAACCCCCCTTGTGGTTGGGGTTTTCCTTATCTTATTTTCTTATCTGGGTTAGGCACCCAGAAAGGTAGGCATAACAAAACAAACCCCACATGGTAAAAAACTAAAACAAAAAACCGAACAGAGAGGTAGAAACTCCCTACAATCCCTAGGAAACAAGCAAACAACACACTTTACTGCCATGCCGATTGTCCGTGCAGCCCTCCCCGCCCCGAGAGGGGGAGGGGGGAGCCTTGGACCAACCGCGCCGGCTGCCTAGCATCAGTTCGTAAGTTAATGTCAATCGGAACGTTTTCCCGCGGCTCCGCCTCTTTCGACCATTTGCTGCTGTCTTGGTGACATCTAGGGCTCATTTCGGGCGCAGGGATTTGAGGGTCGCACAGGTTCTTGGCCGCCCATTCTTTATGCGCGTCTGCTCCTGTGCGTTCTTGTTGCCTTGGGTCGCAGGTTGCAGCCTGTTGTCTCGGTTTCGCGTTGCGGAGTTTGTGGTGGCCGCCTCCCGGGTCAGCCCTTTCTTTTCCTTCTCTTTGGGTATGTAGCTCCAGGGAGCTGTAGGGGCTCCCCACAGAAAACCAGCGTTGAATGTAATGAAACGCCTTTTTCTGGGTGAGCCCTGGAGGCTCCCTGGCATCCCTCCCTCCCATCGGTCGGCGTTTTGTTTGCGTTGGTTGAAGCTTAGCTTCCGAACTGATGCTAGGCAGCCGGCGCGGTAGGTCCGGGGCTCCCCCCTCCCTCTCGGGGCGGGGAGGGCTGCGCGGACGATCGTTGCAGCAGTAAAGTGTGATGTTTGCTTCTTTCCTTGGGATTGTAGGGAGTTTCTACCTCTCTGTTCGTTTTTTTGTTTTAGTTTTTTACCATGTGGGGTTTATTTTGTTATGCCTACCTTTCTGGGTGCCTAACCCCGGTCGATGGCAGATAAGGAAAACCCCAACCACAAGGGGTGTTTTCCAGGGCCATTGCTCCCTGAAACCTCTCTGAAGGGCCAGGTTCTGGTGCTGGTCCCTGGTAGGTCTGAACTCCTTAGCTAATGTCCCGGTCTAATATAACATACATTAGCCCGATAAGCTCCAGGGAGCCTCCGGGGCTCACTCAGAAAATGGCGTTTCATTACATTCAATGCTGTTTTTTTCAGTTTCTCGACAAGGGATTCAAGACATCAGCTTGGAAAATTTTACATGGATTAAAGAGCCAATAGGGGTCAGTGGAGAGTATGAACAAATTCGTCATGCTTCGAAGTACATGGTAAGCATAAAACACTATGGAGGATTATATGGTAAGCCTAATGACACAATGTATCTTGATGAAGATACATTGTGTTACATTATATGTAAAACAATGGTGGAGTATCATCAGTCTATCATTTGAGGGTGAAAGAGGCAATTTAAGGGTTAATAAAGTCTATATTTCTTATATTTTTATCTCTTTGATAAAATAACTTGGGTTCATTATTCCTCATTAAGCCTCTCACATCACTCTTCCTAACCTCTCTTAGCCCTCCTTCATGCACAGTTATGACTCCTCTTCCCTCATCTCTGCAGCCTAATTTCTAATACAGGTTCCTTGGAGCTACATCTCCACACTCGGGTTACTTCTTCACCAATTCCTCTTAGCCCTTTTACTACACACACACATTCATGGCTGATATTCACTCACATCCCACTCCCTCCAACATCTGCCTACATCTGAAACTGTTGACGAGTTGACATTGCAAACTTCCTTGAAGCAACAAGCCCTCCACACCCTTCACTCTCTTCTTCCAGCCAGATGATGAGAGCTGATTCTTCCTCTTCCTTTCCTAGTGATAAGAGAACTACTATTTTTGACTCCTCTTATCACACCCACTCTTGTGTCAGTGCCTGGTAATTTTCTGGTTCATTCATGATGCAATTTACCCTGGTATTTTCCTTCTTTCCTTTGTCATTTCTCCTACTCCTGAGTCTGCATCATTCTTCCATCCTTGCCTCTAATAAGGCACTGGGAGGGAGTACCCAGATGAAGTCATCAACACTGCCACTCTTCTGGTAATGAAAAGTGTCCAGCAGCTGGACACCCTCATAAATACTGTCAAGCAGCGTCCTCCCTCGCGACAGCAGTCACATAATAAGGTTATGACGATTTAAATGCGAGTACAGCACTCCGTACAGTACAGTATATCCTTTCACAACCAAAGATCACATTCACTCCCCCCAAAAAATTATCACTTATGGGCTTTTCATGCCCTTGGCACCTCTTGGGTGGCTTAATCTTCATATTTATCAATCAGTACCCAGTGGTGCCCTGGATAGGCTCTCTCTCTCTCCCCCCCCCCCCACCGTTCTGCTCCCTCTTTTCCTCTCCCCACATTCCCCATCTTCCTGCCCTCCCCCCCTTTCCTGCTCCCCCCCTCTCCTCTCCAATTTTGTTTCCCCTCACCTTCCCTGGTTTTTCCCTCTCAGTTTGTTTACAAGTCTATCCTGCATAGTGACGACTGTGCTTGAATTCTTTGTAAAGAATGTCATTGTTTTTCTGCCGTTTTGTTTTCTAAAGAATAAAGTTCTTATTATATATCATGCCACAGGTCCTAAGATGGATGGTGAGGGGACTGGATGGATGGATGATGAAGGGACTGGATAAATGGATGGAGGACTAAATGGATGAATGGGGGGGCAACTGAATGGATGGATAGGGAGGGACTGGATGGATGGTGAGTGAACTGGATGGATGGTGAATGAACTGGATGGATGGAGGGACTGGATGTATGGTAAAGGGGGACTGGATGGATGGTAGAGGGGGACTAGATGGATGGTGGGGTGAACCTCTGTTCCCTCACACTGCACCCTCCCTGCTTTTCCCATACCCCCATCCCACCACTGGACCTTCCCTGCTACCTTCATCCCAAACACACACCTGGTTGTTACCTGGTTGATGGGGTTCTGGGAGTTCTTCTACTCCACAAGCCCGGCCCGAGGCCAAGCTTGACTTGTGAGAGTTTGGTCTACTAGGCTGTTGCTTGGAGCGGCCCGCAGGCCCACATACCCACCACAGCCCGGTTGGTCCGGCACTCCTTGGAGGAAACAATCTAGTTTCCTCTTGAAGATGTCCACGGTTGTTCCGGCAATATTTCCCCATCCTTACACACTCCATTCCATTCCTTACACATTCCATTCCCCATCCCATACACATACCCCCCATCCCCCACACTGCCACTTCCCCCGCCCCCCAGCCACATCTGGACGGAATTAACACGGACTTCGTTGCTACCAGCTGGTGGATTAGGAGGCAGACTGCCTGACAGTAAACACTTGTTGTTTACTGACTGTGAAAGCCTGATTGACTGTAAATGGCCGAATGACTAAATACCTGACCGGTTGCTACCACAACTGTGAATGCTTGACTGCCTTTGGTCATGACTGCATATGACTGGTCTTGACTGTGAATGCTTGACTGACTTGTGACTAAGTGACTGGTTCTGACTGGCTGTCACATAACAGAGGCAGTGAAATGTATGAAAGAAAAATCTGGAACCAGTGATGCAGTTACGAAAGTGTTTATGGCGAGCAAGAGACGGTCTCTTCACCTCCTCACCCTCCCCATACATCAACACCACCTCTCCCTCCCTCCTCCCTGTCTCCCATACGCCAACAAGAGTCCTCAGTAAAGTGCAGTTAAATGTTCACTTACTTTATTTATGGTTTATATTTATACCCGATTGTTTTGTGTATGAAAAATATGAGTAGTATTCTGTATAAAATGTATTTCTAAGTTAATATGTTTGGGGGCGTGGAACGGATTAATTCAATTTACATTATTTCTTATGGGAAAATTTGTTTTGGATGATGAATTTTTGGTTGACGACACGCTTCTGGGAAAGGATTACGATTGTAAACGAAGGTACAAAGTACCTTCTGAGTACACTACTCAGTGTGTGCGAGGATGCACATTGCATCCAAAATTAAAATAGCTGTTAAAATTACATTTGTTGTTCGATTATTATGGGACTCGTTTTTAAAATGCGCGCCTTTCAATTGCGAACAATTCGATACCAAAATAAACTATGTAGAGGTGGAAAAACTGGAAACATTTTAGTATAAACATTTTAGTGCGGCTGCTCGCTTACACGAAACGCTCAGTCGACCATGTGGTTTGCTGGGGGTTGTGTGCCGGTCTGAGCAAATTGTTAAATGTTTCACACATGACTCCATGAAAGTTAAATAGCTGTACAGTATATATAAGTGCTAACATTTCTTAAAGCATTTAAATCAGGTCTACCCTGACCAGCCTGTGTCCATTCTGTACCCCGGACCATTCCTCCTGCAAAGTTGGGTGAGACTAGTCCCAAGCATCTGGCATCCAACTTTGAATAGACAGGCAGTCAAACAGACATTCTCTTATAGGTATCTATACCTAATATATAATATTCTAGGGTTTTCTTGTGTGGAATTTCATGATTTTTTGATAGGTTTCCATTTAGCCCAATTTGGGTAAAAAATTAGTTTGAACATTTTTGTCCTTTTATGCTTCCCAAGAAGGTTTCAACCTCTTGTATTGATGATGAAATTGACTTACTTTTCTCTAGAATCTCTTCTTTGTCAAACTAGTATTATTGATCTAATATTCTTTTCTATAATTAGCCAGTCATGAAAAAGTAAGTTTTCTTGCTTTGATAAAAATGACATGGTGTTCTGTAAATGTTGCTTGGCAGACTGGCGGTGGGCGTGGGAAACCCAGCACACCAAGTGCTCCTGATACCCCTGTCCAGGTGAGCAAGATTGAACCTGATCTTCCTGCTTCCACACCTGTGCCTCCACCACGCAAAAGAAGGGGTAGGCCTCCTAAAAATCCTCTTGAACAGACTGTAAAGCGTGCACGGATGAAGATCACTCCCATTGTAAGTTATTTTGCATAGTCCTTGTTTTGTTTTTATGCAATACTATTTAATTTTTGGGCGCTGTTTTAAAAACTTTGAGGATGTGATCTTATAGAATGTAATGTTTAATGTAAAGTTTTAGGTGATGTATAATATTTTTATGTTTTTCCTTAATGTTATAGATCCCACTGAACCTAAAGAAAGAGACTGAATCTAATTTAAGTGTGACAAGTCCTCAACCCGAAGCTCCAGTACCAGTCAAGCCAGTAGTTGTTCAAGACACACAGAGCTCTACAGTGGACTCTATGCAGGGCTCTACTCTGGACTCTACACAGGGATCTGCACAGGGTTCTGCACAGGGCCCTACACAGGGCCCTACACAGGGCTCTACACAGGGCTCTACACAGGGCTCTACACTGGGCTCAACACTGGGCTCTAGCTCCTCCTCCATAACACTGTCACCATCTGTAAAACCTTCAGTCAGCAAAAGCTGGAAGCCTAGTAAGGTTTTTTTTCATCTTGAATCGTAGTCTTTAATAGTACAATAATGAACTGTACTCTTAACAAATTCCTGGATGGTCCAAACTGTTTTTAACTTGCAGGAGAGTGGTTGGCTGGGGTCTGACTGGTCAAGCAAAATTCCACATAGAATGAATCTGCCTCACCCTATATATATAGTTCATTCAAGCGAGTTAGCACTTAAATAATTTTACTTGGAAACTTGTCAGTCATATTAACCATTTTCAGGACAGTATTGTACAGCATATCCCTCAAAATCCAGATCAATTTTTCAGGACCTGTTGTGGATTGGCATAAATTTCAAATTTTGTTGATGTGTTAATTTATTTTTCTATTTGCTAAGTTTAGGGAATTTTCTTTGGGGAAATAATAGGAGATATCATTGCACACACTGCATTTAGATGCAAATAATATATAAACAGCTAATTTTATCTGAAAGTACTGTATTCAAATTATAATAATTTGTTCTGGAAGGTCCCCTATCAATAACATCCTGAGCTATTATCATGAGGGTGCTAAACCTTAGAGAATTGGACAAGGCCTCAGAGTCCCGCCTGAATCTACTGGAAACCAGAACCAGGGTCTGGCTCTCCCAGCAAGGCAATGGGAGCTTGGGGATCAGAGTTCAACCCAAAACCAAGAAAAACCTATCATTAAGTGTGAACACGCAAATACAAGCTAATTGCTTAGAGACATGGAGGGGAAAAAAGGCTCATATACCACCGTCAGTGACTCAGGCAGAGTACAAGAAATGGAAAGAGGGTAACAATAATATTTCACTCTTGTGACCTTTGAGAGGGGAACTCTCACTGGTTATGGCTGGTAACTATTGTTACCAGTCACTTCTCACTCCCACAAGCTGTTGTCCTGTTCCCTACACCACAAATCAAGATGGAGGGTTTCCTTTCTCTCTTCTCTCAAGTTCAACTGTTGCTTCTGGTCTTGTCAAGACTGGAGACTTTTACTGGCAGGGTGATCCTTTTGGCTTCTTAGTGTCCTGCTCTGCCATGGTTTCTGGTCCTTTTTGGTTAGGTGTCTGAACCCAGGCATCTTTCCCGGGTCTGTCTCTTTTAGCAGTTTAGTCGGGAGACTTCTTCGCTGGTTCGATGTTCTCTTCTACTCTTTCTGTGTGCAGTTTCTGCCTCTGGTTTGAAGCATTTGTATGGTACACAGGATGCTGGGCTCTTGGACTCCTGCTTGGTTCTTTTGTGTTGATGGCAGTGTGAGATTTTCTGTTGGGAGCCCCCTTCAGCTCCCTGAAGCTATCGGACTGATATACACTATATTAATCTGGGGCTTCAGTCAATGGAGTCTTGCCTAAAGGGGACCATTAGCCAGAACATGGCTCCCTCAAAAAGGCACAGGGAGCAATGGCCCTAGGAAAACCCCTCTTGTATTTGGGGGTATTCAATCTGCCATCAGCCTAGGTTAGGCACCCAGAAAGGTAGGTATCTCAAAACAAACCCCAGATGGTAGGAAATTGCAAAAAACCGAAGACCAAATAGAGAAATAGAACTCCCAAAAAGAAAACAAAGGAAACAACCAAAGAAGCAAATGTCATTCACCGATGACGTGCCGCTTGTCCAAGCAGCCCTCCCCTTCCTGGGAGGGGGAGGGGGGGGGGAGCCCGGACCCTCGTGCTGGTTACTCACACCTCAGTTTGTAGGCTGAAGCCCTCTGGGGCGGCTGTCAACTCTGACCTCGGTTTCCTGCTGGATTTTGTGCACCTCTGGTGTTTTACTGCTGTTTGGTGCGTGGTTGCCAGGAGTAACGTAGTGTACTTGGATTGCATGAGCTTAGGTCTGCCATCTCTAAGCGTCCTGTAAGTACTACCCTTGGGTTCTATGGTTGCCTTCGGGCCTTCTTCGAGCTTTCATTTCCATTGGGGTTCCTACTGCTTGGCATTTACCCCACTCTTGGGGCCAGCTGGGGTTTCATGGCCTTTGTTTGGCCCTGGGTAGCTGTTGTTGTTGTTGCTAGTTGGGGTGTAATGGTGCTGCTCAGCACACTTACCTATAGCGACGGCCTTGTTTCCTGTTCCTCCTGTTATTATTGTATTTCTGGGGGGAGCCCCTTCGGCTTCCCGGATCTATCCAGGCTGAATGGATATGTATAACTTTCTGGCATCAGTCAAAGTGCTTGGAGTTCTTGCCTACCGGGGATCACGAGCCAGAACCTGGCCCCACTCAGAAGAGGCACGAGGAGCAATGGCCTATAAAAACCCCTTTAATTTTATTTAATTTTCGTTTGAAGATTTTTGTTTACTTGTTTGGCTTTCAGTAGCAATAATTTTAACAGAATTAGGGTTTGTTTTGGGGCACCTACATTTCTGGGTGCCTGTCCTGGTCGATGGCAGACAGAATGCTCCCAGTCACAGGGGGGTTTCTATAGGCCATTGCTCCTTATGCCTCTTCGGAGGGGACCCGTTTCTGGCTCGTGGTCCCCAGTAGGCAAGAACTCCTAGCACTTTGACTGATGGCAGAAAGCTATACATATCCATTCAGCCTGGATAGCTCCGGGTAGCTTCCGGGACTCACCTAGAAAATGGCGTTTCATTGCATTCAACGCTGGTTTTTTGCGGGGTTTTCTTTTGTTTTTTGTTTTTGTATGGTGGAGGTCTGCATGGAGGGTATCAGGTCTAGCCAGCCTGCGGCTAGACTAACATTAAGATTAACATTAAGCATATTGATATGATGAATGAATGAATTTTCTAATTCTTTTCCAACAGCGATAACCCTGGCAAGTCCTGTGACCGTAAGCAGTAGTACAAGTCAACGACCAATTCAACCAGCTCCACCCAAGTCTGAAAACAAACAGGTTAAAAGCAGTATTGTATACACCACCAAGATATGCACCGAGCCTGTAGTACCATCCAAAATATTAACACCAATGTAAGTGTGTATTATGGTATCCATTTTGAGCGTTGCTTTAGGTAAGGCTATATAATGAGTCATACAGAAGTTGATTTTGGTCACGATGCATCCTTCAGCTCTCAGTCTTGTGACATTGTGATATTTGGCTGATGCCTTATGCACAATGTTGATATATTGCCAACACAGCACCAGACCAACAACAGTTCGCTATATGACCCTTTTGTTGTGATTTTTTTAAATTTTGCATAGAGATCTACCATTTCACAATTTTCTGGTAGGGGTCTCCTCAGTAGCTTCCCAAACTTACTTCCAATGGCATTTTGGTAGAGGAGGATGGCTTTTGAAAAAAGAGAAACAAAGGTAGAATAAGAACAGAAAGGCCAGGAAGGGCTGAGCTGTTGGAGACAATAGCAGAAGAGCAGTTATCAATAAAAGGAGCCACAGTATGCACAATACCCACAAGCGCCACACACAGGTGCAGCATGGATGAGGGACACTGAATAATGAGCAAAAACCCCCAACCTCCAGATATACAAGAAAAATCTCAAGCCTAGTCAGCAGCCATGTGCTATAAAGCTAAAAATACAGCCAAGGCATTGACAAACTCATACCAGTGAAAGGGTAAATGACCGCTGGAAGACTGAACAAAACCAGACTATGGTGAACTTTGGACAGCAAAGCTGCCAACCCCAGGATAAAAGAAAACAGTTTACAGAAGGAGACACCACTCACAATGAACCAGACTAGACACAGTATACAAAGAATGCCAAAAGTCGTTAGTGGTGAGAAAAAATTGGGAAGAAAGAGTGAAAAATAATCAAACCCTGAAAATTAAACCAAAAAGATACCGTGAGCGAGACATTGGTGAAGCACTAAATGTCAGACGGAATTAAACTGCCCTGAGACTGGCCTGGTTGCCATCTTCAACACCTGGGAAAGGACTGATTAGAAAGAAACACACCATCCCAGGAAAAGGGCCACTCCCCAGACAACAAGTACAACTGGCCAACAGAGGTAGGACAAAATGCACACAAAATACCAGGATGGAGGCCAGGAACCCACTGTTCAAAAGAACCAGATGCCAGGATTGGAAACCCTGGACCCACAGCCAAATGAACCAACTGGCAACTTAGAACGAAGTATCTGCTGGCTTTACTGTACCTGGTTGATACCTGGTTGATGGGGTTCTGGGAGTTCTACTCCTCAAGCCCGGCCCGAGGCCAGACATGTGAGAGTTTGGTCCACCAGGCTGTTGCTTGGAGCGGCCCGCAGGCCCACATACCCACCACAGCCCGGTTGGTCCAGCACTCCTTGGAGGAAACAATCTAGTTTCCTCTTGAAGATGTCCACGGTTGTTCCTGTAATATTTTATATTACAGGAACTGTAATATAGTTTGATCTCCTTTGTCCATTCTGGCTTCTGAGCCATTTTGTGCTTGCCTATCATTGACTACGGAGGAGGGAGATCTTGTTCTTTATGCTGTGCCTCCTAGTTGTTTATACCCAAGTGCTAATTACCTCCATACCTACATCAACATTAATATTTTCATCTTATTTTTTGAAAAGTTAATTAAAAATAGAAAAAAGTTAAAATTATAAATATATTTCCTGCATTTTAAGAGGTATCATGAATTTATACTGGCAGTGGTAGGAAAATCAGTAAAATAAATACAATTTGAAAGACAACAATTACATGTACAGTACTAAATATAAAATGAATTTATTTAAAGTTGTATAACCTTTAAACATTAACAAGAGATTTAAGGGTTAGCCTGGATCAAAGTCACTTTGAATGTATAGCTCATGTAATCAAGGTCTGATTTGTCATGATTAAAATTGCATGTCAATAAGCAGTCTTTTTGTGACTGTTATAACTTAATAATATATGTACCAGCTTAGTGTATCCCTGACTAACTATTTTATTCTATCCTGTTGACCTGCTACACCATTATACTTACTACTTATTCTTAAGTGGTACAGTATTTTCTTACCACAGTATCAAGTTGGTATTTCTGGCAAAGTTTGAGTTGCCAGTGAAAAATAAATGTCTGAAAGGAGAGCATTGATGTTCACTGGTTTGGTGATTACTTTCTGATAAAAGGTTCTCACTCGTTAGTGAATTAATAAAAAATATGTACGAGTTCATGGAGACAGTGAATGAGATCTGTGAAACCCTAAGTGAAGAGTTTCATAGTGTGTGTAAAAAACAAGGTTTTCATAACACTAAATATGTTACAAACTGTGAAGTGTAACTTAGAATACCAAGATGGGTTTAGAAACAGTGTAAAAAATAGAAACTGCTCAGGGATTTTAAGTGCTGTCAACCTGCAAACAGCTGCATCGAACAGCCTGGTTAAGCGGGAGCCGGTCGGCCGAGTGGACAGCACGCTAGACTTGTGATCCTGTGGTCCCGGGTTCGATCCTGGGCGACGGCAAGAAACAATGGGCGGAGTTTCTTTCACCCTATGCCCCTGTTACCTAGCAGTAAAATAGGTACCTGGATGTTGGTCAGCTGTCACGGGCTGCTTCCTGGGGGTGGAGGCCTGGTCGAGGACCATGCCGCGGGGACACTAAAGCCTCGAAATCATCTCAAGATAACCTCAAGATAACCCACTAACCAGGAGGCCTGATCAGTGATCGGTCTGCGAGGATGTTCATCCTTGGAAATATGGACAGGTATAGTCAGGCCAGACTGAGTTTTGCCTAGGTTGCTGAGAAGAGATAACTCTCATGTACTTAGCAATGCACTATAGACCATTTTCTACAAATCATTACTAACAGAAAAATGTGTATTGCAGAGGAAACTTAGCTTTATATAGGAATAAAATATAATTGTTTTGACCCAAAGACATTCAAAAGTGCCATTTCCTCTTCACATAATAAAATACTTATTATTAATGTCACTGCTCCAGTGTTGAATGCAGTATGTAATGAAGTGCAGATTGCTTACAAGGTGTTCAGAGATGTGGGCGGGCAGAGAAGGAACGATGCCCAGTCATCTCGCTCTGAGTGTGGCTCAAACCTGGGGCGCACTTTTTTTAAGGTGGTTGCTTTCAGTTTAAGGGTGATGCTCTGCCATCATATTTTAAGTATTGCTGATCATCTGTATAAAAAATAAAATCATATTAATCGTCCTTTTCAGGCTGTCTAGTGAGGTGCGCCAACGGACCTTCCACTGCACGGGACACTGTCCTCTAGGTGGTGGGATGGTGCCATGCCTTCAGTGTGTAAAATGTCTCTGCCTCTTTCATCCAGAATGTACTTATATGCCACCTCCCACAGTTAACATTATCCAGGCCGGAGCTGCAAAATTCTTATGTCCTGTAAGTATTGTTCTTTGTTATGCAGTTCCACTGCTGCCAGAAATGCCAAGCAGAATACAGAAACATTATTAACAAAGCTAGCTTAAGCAAATTTATTGCTGCTAATTACTATCAACACTTCACATTTTAGTGATGTTTCCCACTTCATGTATTAGCTTTGTGTTCCAATAAAACATTGTGTATTTTCTGATCCTAAATACCTAAAAAAAATGATTGTGGATTTTTTATCCTAAAATGATTTTTTATCCTAAAAAAATGATTGTGGAGGGGGACCGAATGGTAAGTACCTGTAGCTAGCCTCAGGGAGATAGCTCAACATATATGAGTCACATCAGCCCTGGAAGTCCTTAATAGCCTACTGGAAATCAGAGCCAGAACCTGGCTGCCCCTCACAAAGGCTAGGGCAACAGGGGGGATTTTTGTTTACAATCGCCCTTGCTAAATGAAACATTCAGAAAGTAAGTGAAGCAAAGCACACAATCACAAGGTTTACTGAGAAAAGGGAAATGAAGCAACAAACGGTTGTTTGCAGCCATGTGGCAGCACCCCAGGAGCTGTCCGTTCCCATGTCAACACTAGTCAGTCTGGATCCTAAGACCACCAACTGTTGCGCCTTGAAAGGGGCGAAGCGGAGGGGTGGGACGAGGGAGCCATTGAGGCCCAACCAGAAAGAGGTATTTTATTACATTCACTCTTTTTATATGCATTATAATGATGCAACTTGTGAACCCATTATTGGTTACCCATTTTATTTGAGCTAAGTCTCCTCAGATGCTTGCTTGAGCCAGGAGCGTTTTGGAGGTGGTTGTAGGTTTCTTTAAGGGTCGTTTGGTGTGCCTGCTGGCTGTGCTAGCCCATGCATTAAATTTGGCTTGGTCTGTTTCCTCTCTTGTCTGCCTTCCTGTTTGTTTCTCTTCTTTTTCCTGAGGAGGCTCTTGTGTAACACTGCATTAATCTACTATTGTAACCCTAGATTAAACTGTAACCCTTGATTGACTGTAGCTAGAGTACCACTGGTAATACTAGTATTTTGGGAACACTGTTAAATTACTCAAGGGTAACATGAACTGAAATATTGTACCTTACCTTGAGGTTACCTTGAGGTGCTTCCGGGGCTTAGCGTTCCCACGGCCCAGTCGTCGACCAGGCCTCCTGGTTGCTGGACTGGTCAACCAGACTGTTGGACGCGGCTGCTCAGAGCCTGACGTACGAATCACAGTCTGGTTGATCAGGTATCCTTTGGAGGTGTTTATCCAGTTCTCTCTTGAACACTGTGAGGGGTCGACCAGTTATGCCCCTTATGTGTAGTGGAAGCGTGTTGAACACTCTCAGGCCTCTGATGTTGATAGTTCTCTCTTGAACACTGTGAGGGGTCGACCAGTTATGCCCCTTATGTGTAGTGGAAGCGTGTTGAACACTCTCAGGCCTCTGATGTTGATAGAGTTCTCTCTCAGAGTACCTGTTGCACCTCTGCTTTTCAACAGGAGTATTCTGCACATCCTGCCATGCCTCCTGGTCTCATGTGATGTTATTTCTTTGTGCAGGTTTGGGACCATTCCATCTACTATTTTCCATGTGTAAATTATTATGTATCTCTCACGCCTGTGGGAGATACATGGAATGCAGATTTAGATCAAGGGAATGCAGATTTAGGCGCTTTAGTCGGTTCCAGTAGTTTAGATGTTTTACTGAGTGGACTCTAGCAGTAAAGGAACTCTGCACGCTCTCCAGGTCAGCAATTTCTCCAGCTTTGAAAGGGGCTGTCATTGTGCAGCCCCTTTCAGTGTAAACCATTGTGATGGTTTACACTGATCACTGATTATAACAATGATGGTTTACAGCCTCGAACCAAATGGTACATTTTTCAAGGAAGTGCTAAATAAAGAGACTTATTACCTATGCTGCCACCATCCTGTCTTACTGATATTAAATCAAATACAGCAATGAGACAGGAACCATTCCTATACTGAAATATGCTTCCTGGATGTAATCACTCACTGACCATATGTTAACAATCTGATATGGGAGGCTTTGGGAGGTTCAAATGTCTCCGAGTACATACACAGAAGAGGACACGAAGGTTCCAAGTGAGCCTTCAAATGGAATTTTAACAAGATTTTATTTAATCAAAGTTATGATATTCACAAATCCTAAGTATCTATCCTACACTGGTAATTGCTAAGTATATTTAGATATGGAATAACAGCATCAGAGATCACACACATTATCTTCTGAGTACTGCCCTTTGACTCGGGTGGAATTCACTGTCTCCCCCTAGGGCCACGTGGTGACCTGCAGTCAAATCTGCTCTCTGGCACCTAGCACTCTTTAAGTTTTATTTCCCCCCACACGGGTTATTTATGCACCAAAACTACACCAGCTGATGTTAGCTGGTGGTTTTCGTTGGTTAAAACTACAAAGTGGGATAGCTTGTAAGGGTAGTCTGCTCAGCATCACCCTCCAATCAGCCTTTCAAGAATTTAATTTAAATTTATTTGGCAAGTGTTTATCAGGACTGAATCTTGTAACTAAACGGATGATGGCCTACCACTTCATATGTTTAGACACTAGCCTTGTGACAAATTGGAAAGCGGTTGATTGCCTACCCATTTTCAAGGAGGGGAGATTAATTATGGAAGGATGAGGGAAGGACAGGAATATTACATCAAGACAGTTCGCTCAACCTCAGCTCTACAGCTGGCTGATTTCTGACCTTGCAGGAGGTAGTCTGCTCAAGGTGTTACAACTCTTTTTTCCCATAATTAACACAACAATCAGGTGTATGTTAATTAAGCCTGATTTTGTCTTATCCTGACTTGTCCACAATACACCACCAAAATGGAGTATAACAAAAACCAGCATTGAATGTAATGAAATGCCATTTTCTGGTTGAGTCTCGGAGGCTTTTGGGAGTTATACTGGGCTGATATGTATGTATTAGGCCACGGCATCAGTCAATTCAATTGGAGTTCTAGCCTACCGGGGACCACGAGCCAGAACCTGGCCCCCGTCAGAGAGGCACGAGGAGCAATGGCCTATAGAAACCCCCATGTGGTTGTAAGCATTCTATATCCCGGGTTAGGCACCCAGAAAAGTAGGCGTCTCAAAACAAACTCCAACTGGTTAAAATTGCTACTGAAAACTGAACTATCAAGCAGAACTCCACAATCTGAAAACAAGCAAACAAGCATGATGTCACAACCACTGCCGTGCTGCTGTCTGCAGAGCTATCCCCTCCCCACCTCCTCAGGAGGGGAAAGGGGGAGCCCTAGACCCCTCGCACCGTTCATCCAACCCCAGTTCGGAGGCTGAATATCAAAACGTGAAAATCGTTGACCGAAGGGAGGGAGAGTTGCCGGGGAACCTCCGGGACTCGCCCAGAAAATGGTGTTTTATTACATTCAACGCTGATTTTCTGTGGAGAGCTCCTCCAGCTTCCCGGAGTTACTTAACCAGAGAAAAAGAAAAGAGGGACTTACCCGGAAGGTGGCTGCCACTCGCATCTCAACATGAAGTTGAGACAACTGGCTGCACCCTGCGACCCAAAGCGGCACACGCCCAACTAGGGCAGGAACATTAACGAGGTAACGGGCGGCCAGGACCCTGTTCGACCTCCAAAATCCTCACACTCGAATGTCAGCCCAAGACATATTACCAAAAATGGCAGCTAAAGCAGTAGGGTCATTCCATGTGAATTCACCAAAGGCCTCCCACTCAACCCTTTCTAAACCTAATGAAATTTTGTAATAAAGTAGCCCTAGACCCCAAATGAAAATGTGCAAAATATTAGAGCTCAATCTGCTTAGGTTCATAAATAACCGGTCCATAGTGACTGGGCTCTCGTCCCATTAATGTGTAAATACCACAAAAATTACCAACTTTGACCGTTTGTTAAATCACAACTAGTGCCCAGAGAGGTGTGAATTTTGGCATACCTGGGCAACTTCTGCTGCGGAATACAGCAGTGTAATAAAAAATGTAGTTTGGGTAGCCATTCAGCTACCAATCCATGCTAATATCACTGCCAATATATCTCAAAATATCTCAATATGCATCATTCCCAATTTGGTTTTGAATGACAGCATTGGATAGAGCAGATTTTTCTGTACAAGAGTAACTTTTATTTGGATGTTTGTTTTTGTTGGCATTGGCCTCTGGTGGGCGTGTCAGTGAGCTTCAAAGCTCTCCTCCAGCACAGGGGTTTCTGCTCTTTCGGTCCTGATGGTCGGTTTGTTCAGTTGGAGCTGTCTCTTTCCTTTCTGGTAAAGAACGAGACGACTGCTTTCCAGAGGGGTCCTTGGATCATTGATGCTTGATTGGTCAGGCCAGAGATGCATCATGTGTTATGTCCGGTTGCAGCTTCTCGCCATTATCTGCGCACTTCGGCGGCTAAGGATGCGCTTTGAGATGATCCAGTTTCTCTAGTTTCCTGTTCCAGGGCACAGGTTTCCCAGATCATTTGCAGGGTTATTAATTCTAGCCAGCCTGTGGGCTATCCTCGTGCCCATGATGTTAGGAAGTTTGCTAAATTTGGCTGCCATGTTTGGCAACATTTCTTGGGCTGATATTTGGGCACCGGGATTTTGGAGGACGAACAGGGTCCGGGCCGCCCATTATTTGGTTAACGTTCCTGTTCCTGAGCGTTCCTGTGTTGCTTTGGGTCGCAGGTTGCAGCCAGTTGTCTCGACTTGGCGTTAAGGACCTCCTCCCGGGTAAGTCCCTCATTTCCTTTTCTTTTGTTATGTAGCTCCATGGAGCCGAAGGGGCTCCCCACAGAAAACCAGCGTTGAATGTAATGAAATGGGCATTTTCTGGGTGAGCCCCAGAGGCTCCCTGGCAACCCTCCCTCCCTCCAGTCGGCAGTTTTTTGCGTTGTTTGATGCTTAGCTTCTGAACTGGAGTGCTGGGTAGCTGGCACGGCGAGGTCTGGGGGCTCCCCCCTTTCCCTCTCAGGGATGAGGAGGGCTGTGTGAAGAAGCGGCATGGCAGTAGAGTGTGACCTTGCCTGTTTGCTTGTTTCCTTGGGATTGGAGGGAGTTCTGCCTCTCTATCTAATTTTTCTTTGTACTTTCCTTAACATGTGGGGTATGTTTTGTTATGCCTACCGTTCTGGGTGCCTAACCCCGGTCAATGGCAGATAAGGAAAAACCCCAACCACAGGGGGGTTTTCCAGGTTCATTGGACCCCGCAACCTCTCTGAAGGGGGCCAGGTTCTGGCTCGTGATACCTAGTAGGTAGAACTCAATAGAGTAATGCCCCAGTCTAATATATCGCACATTATCCAATAGCTCCAGGGAGCCTCTGGGGCTCACCCAGAAAATGGTGTTTCATTACATTCAATGCTGGTTTTTGATGTAAAAAAATATGGTTTAGCTGATTTAATTTGTATTTTAAAGGTTTCATATTAAATTCCCAGTTCAGGATTTTGGGGTATTCTTTGATATGTGCACATTAGGGTTGCACTGTGTTTTATTATGTATTCTTATCAGGTAGACATTCTAATAACTGTATTTTTCTAGAATTGTTACAAAGAGAACAAAGAAAATGTCGGGACCAAAAAGTGGTATATACCTAGACCAAACGAGCCTCTAGCTTATGACCCTTCATCTGAAGACTCGGAGAATGAGAGTGAGAAAATGGATAGCGGCGTATCTTTTGAAAATTATGCCCGGGTCAGTCTTCGACTGGAAACACCTCTCACGCCTCCAGTCTCGCCATCGCCACCAGGATCAAAATGGTGAATGTTTTTAATTTATTCATGCAAATTATTGTGTTTAAATGTGTAGTGTACAAAGAATGCATTAATTAATTGTTTTCTTATGTCTACTTTACATTGAGTTGAAAGAAATTTGACTTTCTCACCAGCCCAGATGAGGCAGGAGTCAAAATGTACACCGGGGCACAGATACATTCTTTAGCTGCCATTTCCAAAATGGCTGAAGCTTCAACAGGTGGATCAACACACATGCAGTCTTCACAGCTTGGTGAGTATTTTGTCATGACATAATAACAAGGAAATGATAATACAGTATATATTATTGTATGTTGAAACCATTTTGGATTTTTTCCATTTTAAAATTTTGGAACAAGAAACTAATAGTTTAATAGTTATACATGTAGAGTACAATATATATATACTGTGTATAAATTAACATTTGTATTGGGTTTAAAAAAAAAAGATAGCTTCCCTTACCAGAGGAAATGACCTCATGTACAGTCTTCTGTAGGGACTGTAAATTATTTAAAGTCTTCCGTAATTATCATGAATTATTAACAACAGAAAGGTGCTCACAAAACATTCTATACAGGATTCCTAATAATGATTGGGGTAAACATATGATTTTTTAAGGAGTTTTTGCTGTGGATGACCAGTGATGGTGCATATATACTATGAATGATATAATAAATGAACATTGTTTTGCTTCTCTAATTCCCATAATCTTCTATTACAATGTTATTAATTTTTTTATCTGGGCTCATTCCACAAAGTTGGGAATGTAGTAATGATAAAAAAATAAATGAATGAATGAAATTTGAATATCAAGGTGCTCAGACCGGCCTAGGTCGCAGAGAGCAAAGGCAGGTTGTATGGTTGTGTAGGATGTATGAAAAATATATCAGGGACAAAAGCATAAAGAAGGAATGAGGTCACCTTAGCTCTCCACAATATAAAGGATAAAATACACAACAAAAAACAGCAGTACCCTCTATTGACACTTGTTGTGTCTATAACACCATAAGAAGTCAGCCAGTGACACCTCATTTTCCAGGGGAAAAAGGTTCATGTCAGATGTGTGGGAATTCCAGCGAGGATGCACCTGCTGTCTTGTGTTCATATCTACTGCTGAACCCATCGGTGGTTCTCTCTCCTCTCTAGACTCAGGTGTCCTTCCTTCAACTCTCAGTTTGTTAACATTTCCCACTCAGGTTATTAAAGTAGCAACCTAGGATACTTATCCTCTCTCATGAATAAATCCACAGTAGCAAAAAGGAAAACATCTGACTAAACAAATTAACATTTAACAAACAAAAATACTGTAGCAACAAATGCGGAAAAGCTCATTAGGCAGGCTTTAAGACTTCCATCTCTCTTGTACCTAACAGTGGTACCACTCCTTGTGCCTCTGTGAGAGGGCCAGGTTCTGGTTGCGGTCCCTAGTAAGCCTAAGAACCATGGCTGATGTGACCTGGTAGATGAAAACTATCTCAGTATTTAGCTTTAGGGAGCAACTGGGGCTCACCTGGAAATTGGCATTTCATTACGTTCAATGCTAGTTTTATAGGGATGGGAGGTTAGAGATTGAGATTGGTATGTTACCTAGGAGTTGTAGAATAATTGTAAGGTGGGAATGGAGCCTGAGAATTACACACTGGGTGATAATGGTGTCCCAGGAATAAATGACAATGATTGTAAAGTGAATGATTTATGCAATGAAAGTGTGTCTGAATCCTGGTTGCTCTCCAGGTCTCCTGGTTGACTGTTGGTCAACACTACTTGCAGTTTAGCATAGAACCTGGTCAGATACCCCTTTGGATGTGTTTATTAAGTTCTCTCTTGAATATACAGTGGTTATAGGTCTGTTAGTAATGCCCACTTATAATTAGAGGTAGTGTCAAAAGGCCCTGGGCTCCTAATGTTTATAGAATTGTGTCTTAGATTACCTGTACTTATTGCACTCCTACTTTTCAGTGGGGTTATTTTTCACATTATGCCATGTCTGTTAGCCTTGTAAGGAATTATTTCGGTGTTCAGGCTTCCGCTTAATATTTTCCAAGCGTAGATTATAGTGTATCTCTTGTCTGCTTTCCAGTGAGTATAATTCAAGATATTTTATTGGTTTAACCTGGGGCCTAGTATGTTTATCATGTGATTCTCTGGAGGCTCTAGATCTTGGTGATCCAGGTCCTGGACTACTTCAATGATTGGTTAGTTTGGGCTCCAAGTTTGTGTCGTGCATGGTGGCAAGGGATTTTGTGCTGCCAATGTTGGGTCACTTGAGATTTGCTGGGATTCTTTGTCTCTAGTTCTATTTCAATAGAATAAGAGGTGAACAGGGCCTTCTTCATTTAGTTTAATGGCATCTAGAATTTTATACCTTACATCTTTATGCATATCCTAAAATGGTAATATGTCTCCATATTTGTGTTCTTAACAGGATCTGGGCCATCTAATGCGATGAGCAACAGTGCTGGCATGATGGGATCTCATATTAATATGGCTGGGAATCCGATGCTTCAGTTACAGTCACCAGGATCTAGTGCCGCGCGCTTTCTTCTAGTCCGTGCAGGCAATAATGGAGAGATGACCCCTGTGCCAGGTGGGTCACGTGTAGGAATGCCCAGAGGAATATTTCTACCAAGCAGTCTAGTTGGTGGACAGATGCCCTTCATGTTACCTGGATCGTCGTCTCAGCAGCAGCAAGCTACAACACCACTTATGCTCTCTGGATCCATGCAACAACAACAACAACAGCTGCAGCAGCAACACCAGCAGCAGCAACAGCAGCAGCTTCAACAGCAGCTGCAGCACCAGCACCAACATCTCCAGCAGCAGCATCTCCAGCACCAGCTCCAACAGCAGCAGCAGCATTTCCAGCAGCTTCAGCAGCAGCAGCAGCAGCAGCAGGTTGCCACTCCTAATATGTTGTCGGGCAACATACAGCAGCAACAGCAAGCTGCTTCACCTATCATGCTGCCAGTCCCAAGCTCGGTACAACAGCAGCAGGTTGCAGCTTTGTTCCAGCAGGCCTCGTCTATTCTTCAGCCATCACATGAAAGGCCAATTGAAAAACAGCAAAAATCACTTTCAAAAGTAAGGTTCATTGTATTCAAACACTCTTTGTGTTTATTGTATTCAATTTCACAAGCACGTAATATAATGTTACTCCTTTTCTTTTCATTCATCACTTGCATAATACAATATCTATTTTATTGTTTACTTTTATGTTCAAAATATGTGTTATACACAAGTTTCTTTTATTGTACAGAAAACAATTTTTAGCCTTTGGTGTGAAAAAATGTAAAAAAATGATTCCCTAACCTAAATTTCATGCCCCCTTAATTGCAGAGAATACCAGATTGTCTGTACCATATAGTGTGTATGTTGGGGTCACCACACCTTGATGCATTTATCATGTAATTTTATAGTATCATAGTGTAGTATTAAATAAGTTAGTTCAACCTTTCGTATTTCTTAGGGTGTTATGAAACCAGACAGTCGGAATTTCCTGCACGATTTAAGTCAGAGCTACCAGTTACTTCTGCGCATTTTCAAGTATCTGTCTGTGAAGGATTTGTTGAAAGCATCTCAAGTTTGTCTTCTGTGGCGAGATCTAGCCTACAGCTCTTCTTTGGTGAGTATTTCTATTTTTGTTTCTAGTTCTTTTCCATTAGTCATTTAAATCATTGTACATGGCGCCTGACAACTGAGTGGACAGCGCTTTGGATTCGTAGTTCTGAGGTTCCGGGTTAGATCCCCGGTGGAGGTGGAGACAAATTGGCAAAATGTTTCTTTCACCCTGATGAGCCTGTTCCCTAGCAGTAAATAGGTACCTGGGTGTTAGACATCTGCTACGGGCTTTTTCCTGAGGATGTATAACAAAAAGGAGGCCTGGTTGAGGACTGGGCCACAGGGACGCTAAGCCCCGAAATCATCTCAAGATAGATAACTAATTACCAGCTATCAAAATGTGCATGACCATCCAAGTTCAAAGGAAACAAGTATTGAGATATTTGATCACATTTATAATGCTGTATAATAAAAGCTTGTCATTTTGTGGAAAATGTTAACATGAAACAGTGGTGCATAGTAATGCTGTACAAGGAAATACTAGATAGGAAAATGCATTATATTTTATATATACAGGTATATATAAATATAAATATATATATATATATATATATATATATATATATATATATATATATATATATATATATATATATATATATATATATATATATATATATATATATATATATATATATATATATATATATATATATATATATAATATATTGGTGTATATTGGCAGCAGGTTTTCTTTCAAACATGTTTCATTGAATATGACCACATATTCTGTATTTATTATTTTCTGGTTTAGGGCTTCTATCCCTCTAACTATTTTCTTAGCATCAGGGCTTAATTGGAATAGGAGTTCTCCAAAACTCATTTTCGTACTTTTAAGGTGAAGAAAAGAAGTGATTTACTATAGAGTGTATTACACTTATTTGTATAATTTGCACGACGTTTCGAACCTCCATGGTTCATTCTCAAGTGAACAGATCTTACAATACTAGTTGATTTTATACCCGCATTAGGTCAGGTGATAATACAATGAAGGTGAAAAGCATGGGGGGATACATAAGGGATAAACATAGGGGCTGCAGAAGGCTTATTGGCCCATACGAGGCATCTCCTATCTAAACACAAAGATTAATCCAGTGTAATTGGCCTGTTATGTTGGACATTGTCTTCTGTGTTGGCATCGATATGTTCTTGTCTTGTCCTTACTCTCATGGTGGGTAGAGTAAATAGTTCCGTGATTTGGGTGTTCATGGTAGGTCGCTCTATTCTTATGTGAATTGCCTCAAGAATTTGTAATCTTCTTGAATCTTGGGTTTTGTCTATTATGCAAGTATTCTTGTTCAACATTTCTCTTGTTAGAGTAATGTC